CACTTGGGAGTTTGTTGTGAGGGGTTGGGGAGGCTTGGCCAGTACAGGAAACTTGATAGAAGGGAGCAGCTGGTTCTCGTTGGTGCATAATAGAATAGTGCTCTTAAACTCTTTGTACTGCCAAATATTTTGAGAGTCTTGCATAGGGTTGACTGCAAATCACCATGAAGGATAAAATGAAGATTCAGCATTTAATCTTGAAGGTAGCACACGTTTACCACACAAATATTTGAAGAGGACTGTACTTCATTCTGGCTGTTTTCTCTGACTAGCCCTAACAATTCCAGATTCCAACTCCAGAACCAAAGTTGAAGAACTAATGTATCATTTTATTCAGTCTGCTTCCTTGGCCATGGTAGTTCATGAATAACTAACTAACTAACTAACTAACTAACTAACTAAATAAATAAATAATAAACACATTTATATATATATGGATATATTATTTGTGTATGGGTGTCTGCCTGCATGATTATATGTGCACCAAATGCATGTCTGGTGCCTTCAGAGGCCAGAGGAGGGCATTGGATCTTCTGGAACTGGAGTTATGGTTGTGAGCCACCATGTGGGGTCCTCTGCAAGAGTAGCCAGTGCTCTTAACTAACTTGTAGCTTTCTCTTAGCTCAGTAGCTGTCTTTCCGGCCCTGAGATAGTAATTTAGTGTTACAGCTCCTACTGCTCTGTTACAAAAATGCCAAATATCAACAGAAAAGGTACAGATGTCCTAGCTTTAGATTTTATTTCATAGAGGATAGTCCTGCATCACTTCCCATTTCTCCTATAACTGCTATATTTTCTTAGTGACAGTCAAGGCTCTTTCTGCTAGAATATTTACTTTTAGGTTATAATTAAATTTGTGTCATTATATCAACTCCAAGACTTAAGGAAGAATTATACTATCTTTGCAAAAATGGAGAAGATCCCCTATGTAGCGTCAGAGTATTTCCCCCACCTCCCCACTGGCTCTCTGTGTATTGGGGGCTGGAGCTGTCAACTATGACCTGGGGCTCATAGGTGGGGCTACGCTAACCAGCCAGCATCAAGTCCCAGGGAATCTTTGTCTGCCTCTTTTTTTTTGGTCTTTTTGAGACGGTGTCTCCCTATAGCCCCAAGCTGGCTTGGAACTCCCTGTGTAGACCAGGCTGGCCTGGATCTCATAAAGATCTGCCTACTGCTGCTTCCCCAGTGCTGGGATTTAAAGGTCTGTGCCACCATGTCTGGCAAAAGTGTCATTTGTTTTTTGAGACAGGGTCTCTCCGTAGCCCCAGCTGGCCTGGAACTTACCTTGTAGACCAGGCTGGCCTCAAACTCAGAGATCCACCTGCCTCTGCCTACCCAGTGCTGGGACTAAAGACCCAGCTAACTGCCTGTCTCTTGCTTGCTCCCTACAGTTACTAAGCTGTCTTCTCAGCCCCTTTTTGTTTCTTTTAAATGACTTTGTATTATAGTTTTGACCTTGAAAACATACCTATTTCCAGTTCTTTTCCTTTTTATGTCTTGGCTTTTCAATTTCAGAGTTGTCTTGTGTGGCCCCTTATGAACATGACACAAACTAAAATCTACAATGTTACCTTGGAAATTGCAAATATATATAGCATTTGCATTCTCAGATTGGGAGATGGAAGAGTATTATAAGTTGTGTTTTTTTTTTTTAACTGTGTTGATGTCAATTATAAAGGAGTCTGCTGTTGAACCTAATTCTATCATATTTACTTTCATTCTGTTTATTACTGTATGATTTGGGGGGTTTCAAGTTGGAACTGACTTATGTACTCAAACTTTAGATTGTTTACGATGATTATTATAGAGTTCTATTCTTTTTCCCGAGTTCTAACCTCTATTTCTTCATTTAAGAATTGAATGTCCCAACCTATATATCTTTATAATCTTGCTTTAGATTTTTATTTCCTTCTTGAATTTATAAGTTTGCTGTCTAAATAGCTGGAGATGTATCTCAGTGGTAGAGTGATTGCTTTAGCATGTGCAGGGCTCTTGAGTTTGATCCACAACACTGAAAAAAAGACTGCTTAATTTATATGACTGTTGGAGAAATTGAAGGGGATAATTGGCTGGGTGTGGTGGTGCACAACTTTAATCCTAGCTAACGCCAGAGGCAGAGGCAGGTGGATCTCTGTGAGATCAAGGCCAGCCTGGTCTACATAGCAAGTTCCAGGCCAGCTGGGGCTATAAGAAGACCCTGTCTCAAAAAGACAGAAAAAAAAAAGTGGGGGGCGGTTTCATATAAAACCGTTTTATTTTGCATGGAATACATATCTTGAGTTACTTAATAAACTAAGGATACTACTGACCCTAAAGTCATCTCAATATGTGAACACAGCTGCAAGATCAATGTATAAGCATGGCCAGGGTGTGAAATGTGACCTTCGGTCTTCATCTGTCGCTGCTGGTTACAGTGTCATTAGCTTTACATCTCTCCCTCCCTCCCTTCCTCCCTTCCTTCGGAAAGCTGGGGCTATGGCTCTACATCTTTCTATTCTTTGACTTTTTACTGCTAAAACAGATCACCTGTTTGTAATTTGTGTGCTCCAGGCTGTCCCATCCATATGATAGAACATGATCTAGAACAAAGGGGTCATATTTTGAATTTACCAATGCAATTATTAATGTAATAACATTAACATTTCCTTTGTAATTATTTCAAAGGTATAGAAGTTTTATTTCTGTTATATTACTGAGCTTCCTGAACGGCCACCACCTGACTTGTCTTCCATATGTCCTGTTTAGGCTAGAGCAGAATTGCAGTTATTAAGGGTAAACTCGTACTCTTGTGTTTACTTACCTAATGCTTCTATTATGACAATGAAATATGCTGAGCAGATGACTCCAGGGCCAGGAGTTGTGACACTGGCTAAAGGTTCAGATGGGAATTTGGGGGTATGTGGGTGTTTTGTTTTGAGACATGGTCTCACACTGTAGCCCAGAATGACCTAGAACTCACGCAGGCTGCCCTCAAACTCATGGCATTCCTCCTGTAATGCTGGGATCTGAGTGTGAGCCACGATGCCTGCTTCCAGATGGCATTTCAACTGGTCTGGACTTTATTGAATTCTGTTATCTCCTCAAAGAATGTGCTGTCCCTGGTTTGGCCATCTTCTACTTTGACAGCATTGACCAACAAAGCTCAGACATTGATAGTTGCTACACTGACATGTCACTGACTTCTGAAACTCTGGATGTGTAGACCGTGAGGCACTTTTTAAACCTGCTCAACATGATCCTTTAGTGGGGTTTTGTTATTCAGCCCACTAAATCTACAGTGTAATTTGGAGCCTTTATTGTATTTTCCAGGAATAACAGAACTTTTGAAACATCTGAATATAAAACCTATTATTAAAAATTGCATTTATGTTATCACTGTGTTGTAACCATTTAATGATAGGCTGGCTGTTTAGCCTTCATAAAACCCTGTGATACTCATATTCTTATTCCCATTTTGCAGATCTGAGGAAGCTAAGGCAGAGAAGTTTGCCCAGGGTCAAGCACAGTGGGAAACTGGTCTATAGTCATTCAGACAGCCTGGCCTGATAAGTCTCACTCTTGATCACCTCATCTTACCCCTGTATTTTAGCAGATACATGATCAGTGTACTTTAATCCTAAGAACTGCTTCTTCATGAACTACTGGTTTTCATTTGCACTTTTGTCTCTTAGACACTGAATCTCTGATGTCACCTAGGGAAGAAAACTGGAATTCATGGCAATTTTTTCCAATCCACCCAACCTCTTGGTTCTAAAGGTGAGATAGCCTGCAGTTTCTTGGTTTCAGTGAAAAAGGCACTAGGATTTAGAGTCAACCTGAACTTAATCCTGATGTCCATCCATTAAAAAAAACAAAAAACTGCCATGATCCTTTCAAATGTTAAACACCAGATTTTGTGCTTGGTGCTGAGAATAAAGATTTCCTTTTCTCATGGAATTTGGCCAAGTGAGGGAAAACTTAACAATAAATACATCAGATAGTAATGCCAAGAATATAAGAAAGAGAGCAGGAGAAGCATTATTTTATATCCTGGCACCCAGGAAGCTGAGGTAGGAAGAGTAGGAGTTCAAAGCCAGCTTGGGCTACTTAGTCCCTATTCAAAACACAACAAAAACAGTTGGGGCTGGAGAGATGGCTCAGCAGTTAAGAGCATTGACTGCTCTTGCAGAGCACCCAGGTTTGAGTCCCAGCACCCACATGAAGGCTAACAACGCCTTCTCACCTCCGTGGGCATTGCACAACATGGGTGCACATGCAGGCAATACGCTCATATACATAAAAAATAAGTTACTAAAAAAAAAATTGAAGGCCACGGCAAAATCAATCATATAAATAGATGTCATCGCTTGTATTTTCTTCTTTATTAACTTGGGCCAACTGCAGCAAGTATTGATGGGGACAGCCCCATGGGCAAGATTACATTCCTTAGGCATGGGCATGTGGTCCTGGTGGGAGGAAAAGGGGGGACTTTATAGGAGAATTCGTTTAGTTATTAAAGATGTATAGCTGAAGGTTCCCAGCTTTCCGTTTCAAAAGGCCGCAGCGGGCTACAAACTCGCTTTCCAAGGGTCAGCTTGAAGAATGCTTGCTGGTCCCTGGGGTTTTGCTGCGTTAGTAGCCTACGATTCCCAGCATGCTGCTGGGCGTGGGGCCTGTGGGTAGACTCCATTTCCCAGCCTGCTGTGGGCCTCGCCAGGACGTACTGGCGCCTATAAGAGGCAGAGCGCTGCGGCCGGAGCCTATTGTTAGCCGGAGCCGGGGCGGTTCTGGGAGCTTGAAGAATGCTTGCTGGTCCCTGGGGTTTTGCTGCGTTAGTAGCCTACGATTCCCAGCATGCTGCTGGGCGTGGGGCCTGTGGGTAGACTCCATTTCCCAGCCTGCTGTGGGCCTCGCCAGGACGTACTGGCGCCTATAAGAGGCAGAGCGCTGCGGCCGGAGCCTATTGTTAGCCGGAGCCGGGGCGGTTCTGGGCTTCTGCTGCCCAGGCTTCCCGAGTGCCGGAGCCGCCCGCGCCCCCCCCTACCTCCCCGCCGCTGCCTGCCTGCCCGCCGGCCTCCTACAGCCCTGCCGCCCTGGGAGCTCCGCGACCGTCGCCGCGCGCCGGACGACTCGCTCGCTCTCCCTTCCACCCGGGCTGGGGAGGCGGCGGCGGCGGCGGCGGCGGGGGCGGCGGAGACCGTCACTGGAGGAGGCAGCTGCGGCGGGGCCGGTAATGGGCCTGGGGTGCGGGGCGGAGGGTGCCACCTCGTCCTTCCTCGGGGTCGGCCCTCGGGCTCCGGTGGAGGAGTGCTCCAGCCTGAGCCGCGTACTGAGGGCAGAGCTGTGGGAGCAGCCGGGAGCGGCCGGGGGGTGGGGAGCCGGCACCGCTGGGAAGCCGCGGGTCGGGAAGAGGCGTGGGAGCGAGGGGCGCCGAGGACACGGGCCCGGCTGCGGGGGAGCGCGAGGCGACGGATGGGCTGCCGCGAAGCCGGCCGGACTGCCGACGAGGGCTTAGTTCAGAACGGAGTGGGGAATGATGCAGGATGGAGGGAAGTGGAGGAAGGGGAGGGGGAATGGGGAAAAAATGTGGGAGGAGTGGTAGGGAATTTGCGAGTAGCGGCCAGGAAGGGATGTGGAAGGCTGTGGGGCGACTGCGGGCAAGAATGAGCGGGAATGCTAGCAGGAACCGAGTGGGCTGCGAGCCGAAGGACTCATCTGTGGCGTGGACTGGGCATGCCCCCTCAGCTCCGGGTCCGGTGTCTCCCATTTTTTTTGGCGTTGTGTGTGAAAATGAAAGCATCACTCGCCCTGGGCTAGCTTGATCTTTTTCTCAGGCCCAGACACGCAGCCGCCAGCCACCCATTTCTTTTAGTGCTATGATCTTGATTCATCCTTTCAGAAGGGTTTAGAGTGGCAGTGGGACACACAAGCCGTTCTTCAGCATGAGGTTAAAAGTTATCCCCGAGAGACAGCACTGTTGCCCTGTCCTGCAGTTTTCAGTTCATGATAGATCCTTAGTCCTTTCAGATTTCCCATTTCTTTACTGGTTTTAAATCTTGCATATTTCCAAAGCCAGGGTGTTTATACGTGCCAGAGTTATAAATGACAGTATCATTTAGGGGAGCAGCATCATGTTCCAGGTCTCCCACAAAGATCTTGTGTCCTCCGTAGGGTGGCCGCTTCCATGTGGAAAGCCAAATTCTAACCTAGTGTTAGTAAATGGAGGGGGGGGACAGGGGATTAGAAGGGGCTTTAAATACCTAACTTAAATAGGTTTTCACTTGAGTACCTTAAATACATTATTCATTCATGAGCCAGGTGATCACAAGGACATGGAATTCATAGGATTTGAGAATCACCATAGTTTCTTGTAAAAGGGAAACCAGGTAGCAGCATCTTAACGAAGTTTATCATATCCCATAAAGCAAGCCTTCTTGCTTCGAACCCAGCCACATCTGGTAACCCTGACAGTCTTATAGGAGATTTTGGTTCCTTGACTTTTAGCAGAAGATTGGGTTCCAGTTGAATGAAAAGGCTTACTCCTGTGAGATGTACCTTGTTTTGGGATTTTGGACTCATTTAAGAAAGAGGCTTATGTTACCTAAACTTTGCAAATATGCTGCTTCCACAGTGTTTTTTCCTGAGCCACCCACCTCTCTTGCTAGTCTTATATATGTTGGGGTTTGGGGTTTGTTTTGGTGGTTTTGAGTCCTTATGAGCCTGAAGAAAGCTTAGACCTAGTGCTGTTCAGCTAGGAACAGTTGAAGGGTTGTAAGGTAATCAGAGCATGTCAACTGACTTCTCATTTCACTACCATTTAAAAGCTGTTACAGAAGGATGTATTATTTGCCCAAAGGAATTGTTGGACACTGTCATTTTGACAGTTACCTGTTGGTACTGACCTGCATTTCTTGTCTCAGTGGGGTTATTTCTGTACAGGTATTTGTGCTTTGAGTATAACTTTGTATTTTGGGAAGGAGTGGGGGATTGAGACAGGGTTTCATGTACCCTTGATTGGTTGTAGGCTTGCTATGTAGCCAAGGATGACCTTGAACTCCTGATCCTCCTGCATCTAAGGGTTGGAATTATGGGCATATTATGTAAGGCTTACAGAGTATCCCTTGAACATAGACATTGATCTTCACCCAATAATTAAGAGAATAGTTGAAGGTGGGAATGGCTTTGGTTTGAAAGGAGAGTAGTTTGGCAAATTAGAAAATATGAATCTGTTCTAGTAAGTACTCTTGCAAAGGATGAGTTCTTCAGGGCGATACAGAAATTGAGAATAGATGGGAAGTTTACTTATGAGAATATATATATATGTTTTTTTGAGACAGCCCAAGCACTGGGATTAAAGGTGTATGCTACCATGCAGTTTATGAACATATTTAACAAGTCACTTTCATACTAGAGTTGGACAAGGAGCACTAAATTAAAATGTAAACTTTTATTGGTGACCAAGGCATGATAGAATTAAAATTTCTTTTTCTTTTTTTTTTTTGGTCTTTTTGAGGCAGGGTCTCCCTGTAGCCCCAGCTGGCCTGGAACTTGCTATGTAGACCAGGCTGGCCTTGAACTCACAGAGATCCCCCCGCTTCTGCCTCCTGAGTGGACCACCACACCCGGCTAGGATTTTTAGAATTTAAGTAATAGCTGCACTTGATGACACAGGCCTGTAATCCCAACACTTGGGAAGCTGAAGTAAGAGGATTGCTGTGAGTTCCAGAGCCTTTCTCAAGAATGGAGCTGGGGCATAGTGGTGCATGCCTATAATTCTAGTGTTGAAGATTGAGACAGGAAGATTGCTGAGAGTTCAAGGTCAGCCTGAACTACATAGCTAAATTTAAAAAAAAAAAAAAAAAATTGGCTGGAGAGATGTATCAGCAGTTAAGAGCACTTGCTGCTTTTCTATAGGACTCATGTTTGGTTCCTAGCATAAACATGGCAACTTAACAGCCATCTTTTCCAGTTCCAGGGGGTCAGAGGCCCTCTTCTGTCCTCCACAGATAGTGCATGATATAGGTGCACTTACATGTAGGCAAAACACTTATACACATAAAATAAAATGGTACTTTTACGGACAGCCATGCTAACATCCAGGGTAGGGTGAAGAGAGCTAAAACAGTAGAGTCTCAAGAATTTTCCAGAGTACAGTCCATGAAATGGTTTTGTTTTGTGGTGCTGGTAATTGATGCCACGGCCTTAGTAAGCATGGTAGGGAAGACTGTAGTACTGAGTCACATCTCCAACCCTTGCACGGTAGATAGTATAGGTCAGTGTACACATTATTTACACATACTTCTGATTATTCTTGGCAGCTTAAGGAAATTATGTTTCCGTTTGTTTATGAGTGTTCCCCCTTCTTTCCTGCCTACCTCTGTCATTGCTCAGAAACCATCCCAGAAGTAAAAATGAGAAGACCTGGGCCAAAAGGAGATGGGAACTAGCATCTAGCAACCCCTGCCATGCTCAAGAGTGCAGAGTAACCTGGATGAATTGATACTCTGAGGGCAGCTGGGTTAAGACAGGGAAGAATTTTAGTAATAAAATTTGGGGCCAGCTCAATGTGAGACTTTAAAAGAGAAATGTTCAAAGAAAATCCACACTTCGGGGAAATCACACACCAGGAAGGAGCAGAGTGCATGTTTGCTTCCAATCACAATCCGGTGGCTTCCAGGCCATGAGGAAAAGCCACTTTTCTAGATCGGTTAAAACCCAAGGGGGCATTGCTGGGCATGGTGGCACATACCTTTAATCCCAGCACTTGAGGTAGAGACAGGCAGATTCTGGGAGTTCAAAGCCAGCCTGGTCTATATAGTGAGTTCCAGGCCAAGTAGGGCTACGGGGAGACCCTGTTGCAAGGACCGAAAAAAAAAAAAAAAAAAATCCAGTAAACCAAAGGGGCACTTAAACTTTTTCCAGAAAAGCAGGTTTTCTGCTCAGTATTAATTTTTCATGTAGTTCATAAGGTATTTATTAAGTGTGTGTGGTGGGGGGAGACATGTAAATTCAGTAGATGACTTTTTTTTTCCCTATAGTATCCACACTAATACTCAATGAAAACAGTGTCCCCTGCCAGGCCCTTGTACCCAAAATGCAATGAAATGAGACTTGTTAGCTGAAAGGTATCCTTATACCCACCTAAAATCTTAACCCATAAAAAGTTCTTCTGTGTCTTCATTCTTGTCATGTCCTAAGAAGGTGGCCGACCTCTGGTCAGCAGCCTGAAGAACACAGCTGACACTTTGGGTTCACTTTTAATCTGTAACATGTACTTGGTTTTATTTTTCTTTCTGACAAATTCACTTGAGGAATGTGCTGGTTTGAGACCCATGGTACCTGAGGTTCTTCAGTTCATCTTGTAACTTGAATGCACAATTTTGATGTGATCTCAGTAGGTTAGGAAATCTCTAAAGCACTTAATAGGTGTGGTTGTCTTTGTAGAGCTGATTTAAATTGATTCTGAAAGATGTCCAGAAAACCCAGTCTGAGGCAGATATCTCTTGCCACCACAGTATGTTCTAGGTAGTATGTTCTGCAGTAATGCAGCCCCAACGTTCTGGACAGTGTTATTCCTGCTGAATAATTAGTAACTAGTGAGATCATAGTCTGGGAGATTGTGTACTACTGAGACAGAGCAGAGGGGCGTCATACCTCATCCCACGTGGCTTGGCCCTCACAGCACCTTTCTGAACTGATTACTGTCCTTTTAGAACCTAAGTCCAGAGACGGAGAAGGAGAAAGTCTTGTGCCTGAGAAGTGAGCTCTGACTCCTTGGTGCTGTGACAGTGGGTTGGAAATAGTGCCTGCCTTGTTGATGGAACCCAAATAAACTGTCACTTCTTTTGCTTTTTGTTTTCCCTTGCTGGTTTCTTTTCAGAGGGCAGAGATTGTAAAGCTATATTTTCTTCTTTGCACAGAGGAGGATAGACCAGTATGAGATTGAGAGAGAGAGAGAGAGAGAGAGAGAGAGAGAGAGAGAGAGAGAGAGAGAGTGTGTGTGTTTATGTTTATGGTGCTGGGGAATCAAATCCAGGGCCGCACCTGTGCTAGGCAAGCACTGTGCCACTGTGCTCTACTCACAACCCCACTTTGTGGGCTGTTCTGAAACCAGTACAGATTCTGATCTTGGTTCCTTTCTTTAGTACTAAATTTGCCCTTTTGGGGATCCTGCTGAGATACTTTACACTTGTGAAGATCTGGGTCAAGGGTTTTCCTGATTGCCAGTGTCCTTCAAAATTGAGAGCCTGGAACAGAATTTCCCAAAGTGTGTTCCAGGGATTATCTACCTCCTAACATAACTTGGAGACAGTGGGTTCTCTGCTTAGTCAGGTTTATGAAACGCTGTTGTGTTTTCTCTCAGCCTTTACCGTGCTCAATAGTATATTAAAAACCTCCAAGAGGTTCTGCCATAAGCAGTTTTCTAAACTATTTTAGCACAGCAGTCCTATTTCCATTCAAAAGGCTATTAATGTCCATGGAACTAGTGTACTTAAGAGGTGCACTTGGGGAAATGACAGAGTATATTAGCACTTGCATAAATAATTGGGTCTGGCTTTGGTTTAGGCCAAGCCTAATGCTGCCTTTGATCTCTAGTCTCTCCCACTGGTCCCTTGGCATGTTCTCCTGTGTGATCAAGAAGAGCAGGGAGTGTTACCCTGGGCCAAATGCTTCCTAAGTCCAACTGGGCTAGAACCTGAGGCCTTTCCTCTGTTGGGAAGGTGCTGCTACTAACTCATCTCATTATTCTAAGAATGACTGAGGCGGGAGGGACAGAAAGGAAGCAAAAGTAAGAGACTATTAAGTAGCTGGTCTGCATAGTGGATTTCAGGCAGCTGGGGCTACAGAGAGACAGAGGGAGAATGAACATGAATACATGAATATATGTATAAATGTGTGGATACTGGCCAGAGTCACAGAGAACCACCTGGTCTTAAGGAAGCAGCTTTGCTTGTTTCCAGTTAGAGTGTAGACTTGAGCAGGATCTGTCTTAGGACAGCAGTGCTGACTCTTTTTTCCCCTGGGCAGAATCCTAATGCTTTGGGCTAACTGGTGGTGAGCTGGGGCTTTGGGGCCATTGTGGTTGGCTCCCCGAGGAAACTTCTTGAAGCCAATGGATGCATTCATGGGCTCTGGGCTCAAGAGGAAATTTGATGATGTGGATGTGGGCTCATCAGTTTCCAACTCTGACGATGAGATCTCCAGCAGTGACAGTGCTGACAGCTGTGACAGCCTCAACCCACCCACAACTGCCAGCTTCACACGTGAGTGCTCTGCTCCCTGCCTGCCCACATCCGTGTTCTCTAAGCAGAGAGCGCTGCATAGCTTGGCTCTATCCTTGGGGATTTCCCTTTTTTATAACGTGTCCTTGTTTTTTTGAAGACCTCGTTGCTTCTGCAGCATCAGCTGGTCTGATTTCTTCTGGCTAATCTTACTGTGTGTGATTTGTGGTGCCCAGAACAAGTGGAATTTGACAGGAAGGAGATGCTTAGGATTCTGTTTTTACCTCGGGGACTTCCCTAGAGTTTCAGGAAATTGTAGCTGGAGCAGGACTAAATAAATGTCTATGACTTGGACAACTGGGGTGCCTCCAGTTTTCTTCATTCCTAGGTCTCAAGTTCTTGCAAAGAACTTCTAATAGTGTAAATGAAGGGTTATTCTTGGGCTAAATCTGTCCACTAGTTTTCGTAAAGTTTTTTTTTGGAACATAGTCATACCCATTGTCTATGACTGCTTTCATGCAATAGTAGCAGACGTGACTGGTTGTAACAGTGACTTCAGGCCTTGAAGAACCTAAAATATTTTTATCAGGCCCTTTAGGAGGCTGGCCACCCCTGCTGTGAATGAACACTACTAGCCAGTGTAATTTTCTTTGTGGTAGAAATGTTCCATATTTGCTTAGTCCAATGGTAGCTACTGAGGAGCTAAACTTTTTAAAATTTAATTAGCTTAAACCACCATATGTGGTAATTTTCGCTTCTCCTGAAGAGAACACCTAGCACTCCTCAGTTGTTGTCTAAAAATAGATTTTTGTGGCCATCCATTTAGGTGAAGTCAGTCCAGAGGCAGTAGGATGAGCCAGCTGAGGTTCAAGGCTCTGTCCAGTTGTGCATTAATGACTTGAAACTATTAGAAAGGCCTTTAGGTACCAGGAGCACATTTGGAAAAGAAGAGTTCAGAGCCTAGATGAATGAGGGCTTTGAGTAGGCTGTCTCTGAATTAAGACCCATCTGTGCTTCCTTCTCAGCCACATCCATCCTAAAGCGGCAGAAGCAGCTACGAAGGAAGAATGTCCGCTTCGACCAGGTGACTGTATACTACTTTGCCCGGCGCCAGGGTTTTACTAGTGTGCCCAGCCAGGGTGGGAGCTCTCTGGGTATGGCCCAGCGCCATAACTCTGTACGCAGCTACACACTTTGTGAGTTTGCACAAGAGCAAGAAGTGAACCATCGAGAGATCCTTCGTGAGCACCTGAAGGAAGAGAAACTACATGCCAAGAAAATGAAGGTGCCTGTGGGGCAGGGGGTCTGGTGCTTCCTGTATGCTGAAACGGTGGGGACCCCACTAGGTTTCTTACTGACTCTTGACCTGGGCAAGCAGAGGTTCCCTGTCTTGGAAATGAGAGGTCTCAGATTTAGACTCAGGTCGTAGTCTGAGCCTCCCTTCTTGTCATCTCTGGTACGATTCTCAGCCAAAGATGGCAAAACCCTTTCCCACACTTCCCCCTCCTCACTTCCTATCCCAATAGGGATTTTTTTTTTTTTTAATATGGTTTAAAATGTGAATACCTGCTACCCTTGAAACTCAAGAAAGGACAAATGCAGATTTCTTGTCAAATGATTGTCCTTGCAGGTTTTAGGTCTCACGCTCTGAAAGTGTCCTGCTGTTTCTGTGGTTCCATCATCACTCCAGAGTATAGTCTCCTTGATGCAGACAAGTGCAGATGCCTGAACACTATGCCTATCCCAGCTTTGATTAGAAAGAGAAAGGGGCTGAGAGAACACCCATCCTAGACACCATGTGCTATTAGCACTGTTTGGTATTCCACAGCCAGTTTCCGTAAATCCTCAGTGAAAGCACTTGTCCAGGATGTGTGAAGCCCTGGAGTCCACCCTACCATAGAAAACAAAACAAACAAAACCAGACCAGAATATTCCCCTAGATCTGCTCTGGGCCCAAAGTGGGAGGTGAATGCTGTATTTCTGAGACTGGCTGGGTGGCCGAGTTGGAGAGCTGATGGTAGAGTAGGCTGACTGGATCTCACTTGTTCCTTTTCTGAGAACTCCCAGCCTGTTTCTGAAGCCTTACACCTGTTACTCTAACTACAGTGACATTCAGCCCTCCCATTCTTCTGAGGAATTCTATCACTGACCCTGCCACCTTTCTGTTGCTGTAGCAACAGCTGGGCAAATAAACACTGTTCTCAGTTGCAGTGAAGGCATTCTGCCCTTTCCCTAGAAGAAAAGGCTCCCCTCTATCAACTTGAGGAATGTCTGTCGAAAGAGGATTTGGTCTGTGCCTCTCCTTGTAGGGATTCTGTGGACTAAGTCAGGCAAACCCAAGGTGAGTTAGAGGATTCCTGCTTATTAGCAGGGTACTTACTGAGCACCAGTAGTGCTGGCAGAGGGTGTGAAAAGAAAACCCTGGCCTTTCCTCTCCAGGAACGTTTGCTGTCTTTAGCACTCCATAGGGAAGACAGTCAGTGCATCTCTCTGCCATTTAATACTTGTTTTCTTTTAGAGCTGTTCCAGTCACTGTTAAGACCTCTGTAGCTTTAATTACATACAATTTTTCTAATATTTTAATTTTACTTTGTATTTTATTGTTTTATCCAAATGGAGTTTATTATCATGAATATTATAAATTAGGTGTTTGGTCTTACGTAGCCCAGGCTGGCCTCAGACTTGCTGTGGAGCAGAAGATAGCTTTGAGCTTTTGATCCTCCTGCCTCTTTGCCTCCCAAGTACTGGCGTTTGGGGTTATAGGCATGAGCCACCACACCTGACCTTAATTTTTCTTTCCCAAAGTCTATCCAGGTGTCCCAATACCATTTAATGACCAGAAAACTCACTGATTTGAAATGCTCCGTCTGTCAAGACAAAATTTCTTTTATTTGCATTGCTTCTCTAATCTCCCCTTTGAGACAGTAGCAGGAGAGAGGGTGCTTGGGGTGAGACCAATTCTAGTGACACAGATAGGAGCAATCCTAAAATCCACAGAAAGGAACCTGGCAGTTGCCTGCCTTAGTACAGAGGTAATAGGCTGTAGAACCCCCAGAAGCTCCACTTAGCCAGTTGTCCCACAAACAACAAGGTGCGGGGCTTTCTCCTCATGTTGAGCAGAGGGATTGCATCACCTCTCTCAGGAGTTGTTCCTTTCCCTGCACTACTCTGGTTGTCTGATGAAATAAACCAAAGACTCTAGTCACTCAGCTTTCAGCCTGCTAGCAGTTCTAGAGCCCTAGGGACTGAGGCCTCATTTTCTTTACTTAGATTCTCCAGTGAGTATGCAAAACTCTTTCAGCCACGAATGTCACTAGCCTTTCCTTCCACAGAGATTCCTTCCTTTGCTTTCTGTCTATCTCAATGCAGAAAACCCAGATTCCTGCCCATAGATTTAGCACCCTTACCTTACGAGTTTCTTTGAAGTCAAATAAACAAGGATTAAAAGAACACATTTTTTTCTAGACCCTGGGCTTTCTTTGATAGCTGCTAATTTGCTGCCTGCCTCCTCCCTCCACAACAATAAACTGCATCTCTTCTGAATACATAAATAAGTTCCACTATGGGATTCTGGTTCATTGACAAGATCTAGGAAGCTGGTACTACACTGTAATGTACCCCTTTTCTCTGAAGGCAGTTATGGATTCTCCGCGGTACAAGTTGAGGGTGTTTTACAAGGTTATCAGAATAGCTTAGGAACATCCAGCTGGTGACACACCTTCGGTTACAAAGCAGGTGGACCAAAGTTAAGAGAACATGAGCAGAATGTGTGCGGAAATGTTATTGACTAGGAGGGAAGATGAGACAGGTTTAAAAACATTTCCTTAGGATCTTGCTCTATTGCTCAGGCCCCTAGCTTCAGCTTCCTGAGCAGCTGGAATTACAGCTGTGTGTTGCTAGACCTGGCTGAGACTGGTTTTTGAAGAACTTGAACCCAGAAAGGTGATATCCCAGGTGTTGACAGGGTGATGCTAGAGCCACAAGCTCCTACCTTCCTGTTCCACTTAGTGTCCTGTCCTGTGCTGTCTAGGGTAGTCATAACTAATCATCTTGGCTTTTTTTTTTTTTTTTTTCCCCGGCTTTTTGGTCAGGGGCTCCCCTTGTCCCCCCTTGT